CGACTGCGCGGCTAATTGTCGACGCTTTTTGCATTTAAGCCAATTTGCGTTCACATTGTTGCCAGTCTGCCAGTTGCAAGTTGCAAGTCTGGCAGGCTGCTGGAAAACGGCTGCCATCTAAATATCTATGCCCGGATAGCTTCTTGGCCAAGATCTAGCGCCTCGGCTATCCGTATCTGTGGAGTCTAGAATGTGCCATTAACCCATTTGAGAGCAACTCGGCGGCATTTCGGGCCGAAAGATGCACACAGAATGTGCAATTTAAATGCACGGCGACAAATTCAATTAACCCATTAAGGATAACACAATTGATGAGCCATCGAAGTGTGGCCAAGTGTTTTTCGATAAATATTATGAAAGCAATTTCATTTCAATGGCTTGGTTTTAAGTTATTACAGCATAATTAAATATTGCAACTCCTGCTGAGTGCTACATCCTTGACACTTTGTGCCAAATACTAAAACTTATAAAGCCATATATACTTAGCTCTCCCCAACTGGCAATCATATTTCTTGAACATAGTGTTCCATTCCTTTTGTCAAGATTAAAATACCTTTCCATTCGGTCATTTGTCAACAAAGCCAGAGAGTGTGTGTGTGCACAACAGGTACAGGTACAGGCGGACCAAAGGATGAATGGCAGGCACTTAAATATGTGGCACTCAAGGGGTTAAAAGCGGCTTACGGCAGCTAAGACAACAAACAAACAAACATCGAAGAAACAAACAAGTTTGTTGTTGCTCAAACACTGGCCTAAGCAAACAGAAGCACAACAATTTTAGTTTCGAGCTGGGAATGGGGATTGGGGAATGGGATTTGTTTTGTTTGCCAGATGGATTGACTGATTGATAGACTGACTGATGGAATGACTGGCCATGGCTACCTGCCTTATGATTTCGCCTTTGCCGACGCTGCGCTAATTTGTTGGCATCCATTGGAATTGGCCAAGACAGGAAGGCAGCAAAAAAGCGCAGCCTCGGCTCAGGAATCTGGCAGATAAACGCTGCCGACACTGTCTGCTTGGAAAATACCTGGTAATTCTCTCTCTCTGTTTGATTTATTAACCATCATTACACACATTCGATGGCCGCTGATGCCTCGCTGCCGGCAGGCAATCAGAATCAATATCTTAGCATCAGTTGGACTTCCGGTTCAGGTGTTTGCCGCTACCATTTGCCAGAGGAAGAGAAATCCTTGTAGAAGGAAAGGAAACCAAACCAAAACGGTGACTATGGACCCATAAATAACCACCAAAAAGAGAGTCAGTAGCCCAATTGGCCAATATATAAATATATATAGAGAGAGTCGCGTTTATATATAGAACAAGTCACATTATATAATTTGCACTCGCTGGATTTATGGCCGACCAAAGTTGCCATTTGTGGCAAACGTTTGGCAATGTGGCGATGTGGCTTCCATGCTGAATGCGTCTTTAAAACGCAATAAATATTAAAGACACTGGCCTCCGTCCTCTGCGTGCAGTTTAAGCCGCCGTGGAATTGTATCTGCCGATAGGCAACGCGAAAATGTTGCAGCCAAGAAAAGCTAACCGCTGCCGATGCCGATGCCTTGGAAAAGTGGAACAGGCCAACGGGCTCTCGGGCCACATGCAACTGCCAGGCAAGCCAAGTCGAGTGGGTTCTCTGTGGCTCTGTTCTCTGTTCTTGGCTAACAATATTCATTGCACAATTATGCCTTTGCCTGATTCTTATACCAGATCTTAATGCTTTATATAGACAGCTAATTATGCAGTGTCTGCACGTCAGTCAGGTGAAAGATACACACTCTCGCACTGCATCTTCGGCACAGCCCACGCCAAATTATTTGCTATTTAGCCAAACATCAGCCTAGTTAGCGGGGGCCTTCCGAAACTGGGTCGATGATATGCACTGGAATGCAGCAACTGCAACTGCAACTGCAACATTGCAGCAACACAGCAGCAGCAACTGCAACATAGAGAGATGCTGCAGCTGACTTCCTGTACGAATTCAGCCTAAACGAATTTCTCTTTGTTGACTTTTTCTATTGTAAAACATTATTCGGTTTAAAGTTTTGAGAACTCAGCCACTAATTGCAAGTAATCTTGATCTATCACAGCTTTAGTTTATTTACCTTGAATCCCTTTTTCTAGTTTAACTATTTTATTGCAGCCTCTTTCTCGTTTATGACCGTGTAAGATCACCATAGAATTTAGATTTCTTATGCAATTCCTCGTTAGCAGGTTCCTCCTTCCTTTTAACCCCTCTTGTTTGCGTTTTTATGATTCTGTTTCATCGTTTTCACTTCATTTTAATGAATATTTAAATATTTCCTGTTGTAAAAGTAAGACTTGGCTTCCGCTACTCTATATTCTGGCACTTTTTTACACAGGCTTTTCGAAATGCAATTTCCTGTGGGGCAACTGGTTGTGTTCTAAGCCATAAAAATCCAGAGGTGTTTTATGATTTTTTGTAGAACTTTTCCTGAGAAAGACTTGGGTTTTACAACATTTAAATGCACCTTTGTTTGATAATTAAATTTAAATTATTTTCACACCTTATCTACTCTAAATTAACTTAGTCAAGGTTGCACCTTTACAAAGGGTAGTGCCCATTTTCATGGGTATCACTCCCAATATCTAGTTCTTGTTCACACATATTAAATTTTGTTCAATTTACTAGAATTCTCTTCCTTTGTTACGTTTTCTGTCGATTCTGAGCCATGACCCCGTGAACTTGACATAACCTTTTACCCATATTTGATTTGGCACATACCTTAACTGTTTGCTCTCGTGCTCTTCCACTTCGGTGTAATCGAGCGACAATCCTCTGGGATCGGTTCTAGTCCCACTCCGTGTGTGTATTGTATCTGTAAGGCAAACAAATGCAAATTAGTTAAATATTTGCCTGGCAAGCAAACAACAATGGTTCGGGTCTGAGCCACAAACCCACTTAAAGTACAGAGAATGCTTCTTCTGGCGTGTTATCAACCCCATAGATATACATCTGGGCAGCTGCATCTCCATCTCCATCTGCATCTGCATCTGCCTTGGCATCAGCGGCATCAATTGAGTTTAGTGTGACAACATTTAATGTGAAAACGAGAAGAACTAAATAAATAATTTTTACCAGCAACGGCAAACAATGAGATGCGGCGATAATTTCATTATAAGAGAAAACTTAGGGAGATCGTTCCACGACTGAAGATACAGATGGATGGTGTGTATCCGTCTTGACGTGGAGCTCTCTTATCTAGAGTTTGAATCGTCAGCAGGTGACATTGAAGTAATTTACTTGCTGTTGCCAGTTTCCACCGCTACCCACACAATTTATTTGCAACTATTTAACCGACGACGAAGAAGAAGGAAGCAAAGCCAAAGCCAAAGTCGAGGAGTAACTGCAGCAAAAAGAAGCCAAGCCAGGCACTGAGATCTTGGCAAGTATTATTAGCCAGCAGCAGCCGGGAGTTGAAGTCAAAGTCTCAGCATTTGCAGTCACTCAGAGCACTTCTTTTAGCCACCGCGAGACCGCTCGTTTTGGCCTCTTCTGCCTTGGCTTCTTGCTTTATTATTGGCTGACAGTGTCGCTGTTGTGGCAGTTGTTGTCGTTGCCGATGTTGTGCTGCTGTTGCTGTTGCTGTTGCTGTGCTGATGTTGCCGATGTTGCTGCTGCTGCTGCTGCTGCATTTCGCATTCCATGCTAGCGAAAGTTGACCTAGTCGAGGATCGCGGTTTTTTGTTTCTGGCGTTGGAGGCGGCCGCCGTGTCAGAGGGGCAGTTGATGCAGTGCAAAATTTGCTTATAAATAACGAAATTAAATATGGCCAAAAGCCAAATAACTCAACTAGCTGAAAACTTTTAGCACATTTGCAGTGCAGTGGAGTTTCTCTTCAGTTGATTCTGCCAAAACTATCAACTGGCCAGGCAGCCAGAGCCAGCATTTGCACAATTAACTATGCAATGCACGCGCCGAGTGCTCCGATGGTACGATGTGCTCTCCTCGAATCGTTTCTTTTTCTTCTTTTTTGGCCACTTTCTTTTGGCAGTTTTAAAATGCAAATTGTCTTGATGATGGAGTGCCGGGCATTCTAATCAACTTGAAGATTTCTGTGCAACATCTTGACTCTTACTTTCGATCTGTATCAAGTCGCTGACGTCAGCACTTTAAGCGACAACAAGAGATTTCCGCTTCAGGGGGGAAATACAAAAAAATTAAAGCATCCAAATGGAATAACAAAACGAAGAAGAACCCCAAAAAACATCTCTTGTACATCAGGCGGAAGCCCCAGCAGACATTGAACTGTAACACTTTCTATTGAGGTCAGCCGACTACAAAAAAAAGAACCCACAAAGTAATAATAAAAATGCCATTGAATAGGTGTAGAGAGACCACAACAACAAAAAACTCGGCTCGTGGCCTGCTGTCTCATAAAAGGCGGCCAAGTGCCATGCATGGCCAACACACACAATAGAAATCCCCGAAAATGCCAGGCACGTTGCTTGGATGCAACTCCCCCATAGAATCCAACAGAAATGAAGACCAACTAAGTCTCTTAAATCCAACCTATTAATGTAATTTTTTCTCTCAATTTCGAGTCGTTTCTTTAGTATATATATATTTCCGAACTGAAACGCAGGCAATGTCAAAATGTTAACTGCATTCAATGGCATCCACATCCACATCCACTGGCTGTCTCCAAGGAACCAAGGGGTCTTAGGTCTGGCGGGGTCTGAGGTCTGCTGCGGCGCTTTCTTTTGTGCACCCAGCGAAGATTTTTGTCACGATCCCCAAAGTTGGCTGGCGCTTTTAACGTTTATTGGATTATTGTCATTAAATTTGTTTGGTCTTTGAAAGCGAAACTCACTCTTTGGAGGAGAGAAACTCACGGTGTTAAAGGGAAGCCCTGGCCATGAGTCAGAGGTTAGCTTTAAAGAGGAGCTACTGGGCCTGAAGTGACCTTGGTGGTTGCCCAAAGAAGTTCCTAAAATAAATACTAATAAGTATTAACTGCCTCAACTGTCACAGTACTTTTGGTATTCAACTTCAAAACAACTGGAAATTCCTAAAATGCTTTTCAGTCGCACTCTACAGAAATAATAGAAATATAAACTATAAACTAAGTACAGCAAGAACACAAAATAATGGCTGGCCTCCATAACTATTCCAATTTAAAGTTCAAAGCAAGACTCGGTGAATACGTTGAGGAGGGTATTGACAATGTCTGCAGTAACAAGACTCCACAGGAAAGCAGTCTTAGCCACCGCGAGAGGTCCATTGTGGATAATCTAAATGCGGACCAAGATGCCACCACTAAAATCCAATATCTCACTTTAGAGGATGCTCTATTGGTGCCGCTGGAGAAGCACAAGGTACTCGATAATTACATGGATCAAGAGGAAGATGACCCAGTGCTTCGCAAGTATCTCATCTTTGGCGTTCATTGGGTCTCCCTGATCACCGAGCACCTGTTGAGCCATCCGTTTATAGTATTACGACGGCAATGTCAGGTGTACAATGACTCAAAGAGCTATCACTTGCATCCCCTGGGACTTTTGCCAAGCATTGTGCATCTGCACAGAAGGCAGGGAGTGGGCACTCTGTGGAAAGGAGTGGGCAGCTGCCTTCTAGTGCACGGCATGACCTTGGCCATTGATGATGTGATCTCCAAGTTTAGCAAGGATCCAAGGATGTGGATAGCAGGAACCCTGGAGGCGATTCGGTCAACATGTGGCCCTCAAATGTTTAAGCATTGCCCTGGTGGCTCCATTCCATGCTGCCCTCCTGGTGGAGACTGTGCAAAGTGACATTGCCAGCGAGAAGACTGGACTTTTCGATGTTTTCCGTGAGGGAAGCCTCCGGCTATTCCTCTGGAGATTCCCAAAGAGTGGAAGAATGCTACCTGCTTGGGCTTTAATTGGACCAAGTGTTACCTTTGGCATCACAAAGTATTTGTTCAATCTGGTGATTCATGGTGTATCTTCCCGCATTATGCGCCGGCGTATGACTTTAGCATTGGATGTACCTGGTCGCAAGAAGGGGAACAATGCCCTGGAGCAGCAGAATGCAGAGATATATGCCAGCCTGATTGCCACACTGACCACCGAGGTTATATTCTTTCCCTTTGAGACCATACTCCATCGCCTGCAGTTGCAGGGAACGCGAACGATAATCGATAATCTTGACAATGGATGTGCTGTGGTCCCCATCCTCACCAACTATCAAGGTTTTGCAGACTGTTATCGTACCACGATTATAACCGAGGGAGCCTGTGGCCTGTACAAGGGCTTTGGGGCAGTGATTCTACAATTTGCAGCCCATGTGGCTGTCATAAAGCTGGCCAAGTGGACAGTTAATCAAATAACAGCAGCCACAACCAAAAGACCTACGCCCCGTATTGTTCAATACTATAGTATTGGGGATGGGCCAGATAATACTACGGAACCTATAACTACTTCCATATCCGGACCAGATTAGTGTCCCATCAATTGCAATCATTTGCCTTAAATGTAACAATGCAAATTTGTATGTATCGTGCAAAAAAACAAAAATGTGTTGATTAAATTCTAAATTAAAATTACAAAAATTTGGACTACCTTTTGTGGTTGTTTCTGGAATTTGAATTAAATATAATAATTGAGAAACCTAAGGGCAAATAAGCAAAGTACAAATTGAACTGATCTCGTTGATTTATTACTAGACTCTACTCGGTTTCAAGTTATTGAACATGTTTCTCAATTTTATGGACTATAAACCATATTGGTGGTGTTACCTTTTTATATTCTTTTTCGTTGTTCATTTTTTCATGGCATTTTTTATGTCTCATTCTCATGAATGAGCTTTTGGGGTCCTGAGGCCTGCTTTTACTTTTCTTCTTCCCAGCCAATTGGCGCTTTTCCTTTTTGGCATTGGCAATGGCATTATCATTTGCTGCAGACATCCAGACAAATATGTATGAGCATTGCATCCACATATCCATCGGCGAACCGCCAGCTGGCAAATGTCAAAGTTTAAGCAAATACAAACGCCCGGCACTGGAATGGGTGATGGCGATTGGCATTGGCATTGCCATTTGGTCGTGCCAGTTGGGTTTTTCCAGAGTTGCACCCAAAGCATTTTCCGCCGCAGCGGCATCGTTTTTCGCGCATTTAATCGGCGACAATCACAAGGCAAGGCCTTGGAGCGGCACAGTCGCAGCCGAGGAGGATTTCAGACGTTTTTATTTATGGCCAAGGAAGCCAAACAAGCGAAAGTCAAATTCTTCGGCGATTATTTTCTTGGCTAGCTTGGCTTGGCTGCTTCTGCCGCCTGGAATCGTTTTGCCAAAACTTCGGTGTCATTTCATCCTCTCCTCGAATTCATTTTTCGATTTTTGGTTTTTGGGATTGCCTTGAGCAGAAGGCGGCGTGCAGCAGGCAATGGCGATGGCGATGGCACCTCCTGCCATTGTCTTTGGGTCTAGAGGAGTTCATTGATATTTCGACTCCGAAAAGTGAAACTCTCAATTGTCACTGTCCGATGTCTTGTGTCTTGAACTTGGCTCAGATATCTTAGCCCCCAGCTGTGTGGATGCATGCAAGCAGCAGGCGAAAACTTTTTATTTTCAATTAAATTGCAATTAAAATATTACCGCAACAAAATACTTTCACACAATCGCAAATTATTTCGGGCAGCACTTCTGAACGAATTAGCCAAGCTGCGTGTTAGCCACAGACATTTGGCAATGAAAGCGATCCGAAGCCAATCAAGTGGGAAACAGGCTCGGATCAGAGATCTCCTCTCTTGACGGACTGGACAGAGTCTTGCTGTATTATTAAGCACCGGAGATATGGTAGTCATCTGAGACGAATCGATTGAATCGATCGAAGACAGCCGTCAAACAGGGCGTATACTTAATGTATGTAATTCACATGATTAAAACGATTTTGAATGGATGCAACTACTGTGTGGAGAGAAAAAAACGTGGGATAAACTACACTAAACTATGCCCCAATAGATAATCTTCTGGTTTCTGAGGGGAAATCCGATGTGTAGAAAGCTGTTCACAGCAGATGATATCATCGGCCAATTTCCTTCGATAATTTCTCAACCCAATTTCTTCTAGCTTGCGCATAAATTATCATAAAGCCACATTTAAGATCAACCGAAAATACAAAGTAATTTTGTAAAAACAGAAATCTGTCCGAAAATAAAACAGTTATGTTACTTCCCTTGCTCCAACCATTGTTGGATAAAACTCTGCTAATTGCCCGACCAAACACCGACCGTTGTATCAACTGACCCAAAAGTTGACAATCGCCAAATAAACAAAAATGGAAATTTGGCACACCACCGAAAAGAAAACCAACATCAGCCGCAAAAACTGTTAACCCAAATGAGGTTCTTGATGGCCCAGAGGTTTTGGCGTGGCTCAAACCGATGGCTAGATTTGCCAGATTGCCTGGGCAATTGACAATTCTAAGCAGCGGTCGGTCTTCAGTCCGTCCATCAATCAATTTTCCTTTGATAAACTGAAACGGAAGCGGTTTCTGCCTGACAATCATTGCGCTGCAACGATCGAATGATCTTTCTCTGACTACTTAAAATCCATTTCGCAGATTTCTTCGACGACAACTTGATTAGAGTCGCCGCCATTGATGACCATTGTCAAGCCGCAAAAGTAAATTACAAATGCCACGGAGAAAAGCATAAGTCCGGCTAGAAATCAAATGCAAAAGAAAACCTGCCGCGGACTTGCACTTGTCTTGCGCCAAATGTCAAATTAAATCTATCAATTTCACAGCAGAATGAACGCCCAGACGCGGTGGGTCTTGGTCCCAGTCCTCGTCCTCAGTGCTCATCAAATTTCCCGGCCATTTTCCATTTTCCAGACATTTGAAATTGCTTCGCTGACACCGAGTGTGTGGGGTGTGGTCGTCGCTGGACTCTCTGGTGGCTCTAAGGCACATCTGTTGGCATTTGATGCTGTTGTTTTGGAACGTAATTGCAATGGGAGAACGAGAACTCCTTGGAAAAAGGGGGGCTAATCAACGCTAACTGCAACAAACAAGCTGGACAAACAAACGCAAATTGTTTTCCAAGCCACGGAAGCTGGCTCTCCCCAGTGCAAGAAGGCCAGGCGAATATTAAATGCACATGACAAATTGCAAAGCCGAAGGCTGAGCGTGTTGGAGATGCTCTTTATTTTTATTTTTGTTGTATTTTTTTTGCCCATTTGGCGGCAATTAAAGCGCACGCTTCGTCTAATCAACGGCGACTGGCAGGCTGCGTAAATGAATAGCTGCCAGGCAGGCAAAACAACAGAAGAAGAAGGCTGTGTTGTAACTGTCATGTCATCATGACGATGATGCCAACTCCCTAGCTACTAGCTCCTACCCGGGTTCCATGGAGCTCCATGGAGAGCCCAGAGCCCAGTCATGGCCAGGGCAATTATTGTGGGCAAATTTAAATACCAACTCCACGGTTGTGTCCAAGGCAACTGAGGAATCCGTATGGAAACCCTGGCCAAGACAGTAGCTGACATTCAATGCATCATTTCAGCCGGTGGTCCCGGGTCTTTGGCTTTAGCCTTGGCTTTGTCTGCAACTCTCCAGATCATCATCACCACCACTAGCACCAATGTATAACCACCGACAATCAGAGTCTTAGCCCTGTTCTATTATCTTTTTCCCTGGGATGCGGGTTCTGACACGTTGCATTGTGGATTTCACACCACATCTGGGGCTTAATTATTTTAATTGCCCGACTTGTGTTCGCTTTTAATTATGGGGTCCCTAGATGATCTATAAAAGACAGCCCTCTAGACAGGGAAACCTAATGAATCTGTTGGTAATTAATGCAAATGTTACGGGTGCCATAACAATTAAAAATACAATCTGAATACATTGCAGCAATGCGAAATTAGAGGGGAATACTTAAATGGGGTTTAAAGTATTTTTTATTTCTTTTCAGGATTTCTTTCGGAAGTATAAAATATGGTAGAATGCGAAAAAAGTGATTTTTATGGGATTAGTTTAAAGAGGAATAAAAAAGAGTTGACTAATAAAAGGATTTAAATAAGGATTATATTTAAACCTTTTGGTATTTTAAATACATATACAAATTAACAAACATAAAATCGTTAAATAACATCGTTTTAGTAAAAAATATAAGAATTAAATTGTTATTATTACAAGTTATTCTTTTCTATAAATCTTTAGTCAAAACTTTGTTATTTTAAGGAAGTCATTTAGAGTGCCCTAATATTTTCCTTATGAACACTAAATATTATTCTATATTTCTTTGAAAATCAGGTTGTATTAAGGCATATAAAGATAGTTTATATATTGACCTATAGTTAAACTATTTTAGAACCTCCTTGCCATGTAACATTTATTTAGAAATTTCTAATCAAAAATTTATGAACAAGGTTAGCAAAAAATGTAATACAAGTTTCCGTTTGAAATAATTAAAGGCATAAAGAAGAAAATAAGACAAGTTTTCACTTAAATAAATAAAAGAATATATATATTTAATGCAATTTAAATAATGCAAAAGTTGTTCTTGTTAATTCTTGAGTCGGTTTAAATTTTAGAATCCATTTGAATAAAGAAAGCTTATGTTTCAGTTGATAAATGTTATTTTAATAAGGATAAATGTCACAAAGAAAAGCAAATCCAGTGAAACACTTTTAATACTTATTCTTAATCCTCTGAAGGTCTAGCAGAAGTTCTTAAATCTTGAGTCAATTGATGTTTTTAATTAAAGGAATTCTTGCCAATCACTCTTTGAGATTTCTGACTTGTCATGGCACCTCTTACTCCATAATACATTGTTTATCGTACTATTTGTGTGGTAAAAGTTAATAAACACTCACTTGACAAGGGTACTTTGCTGTACTGTGTAACTGTGACTCGATGTATCGTTCTTGTTTGTCGTCGTGAATTCTGGGAGAAGTGACCGAAAGTATCCTTTCCTTTCGTATTGTTTTGTCGATCGCAGCTGAGTCACGCTTCACTTTCGAGATGAGTTTTATTCATGTATGTAAATGATCACTGATCAACACATTGCACATTGGACAAAGGCACTTGACTTGGGGATATGGTGTGTTATTCCTTGTCAAAATCACTTCCTGGCAACGCGTTTGCTTTATTCGGTTTTTGAGTTTTGGTTGATGTACTTTTTACTTTTTTTTGTGGGCCAGTCGAGATCGCGAGATCGCTGCGAACTTGACCGTCGAGAGTTGACCGAATAACTAAAGTAAACGTCGGGCTAATCAGTCGTTATATAAGTTACTCTCGGAGGAGTTTGAGCTTGAGTTTTCCTCTGCTGCTGATGTTGCTGTTGCTGCGCTGCTCGCGTGCGTTCGCCTTGACAATGGCCAGCGTTGTGAGCCGCTTCCGAGCAGCGGGCTCAGAAGAAAGCCACAAAGCAATCCGCGCAAAGAAAGCCAAAGAAATGAGCGGCAAAAGCAAATGGCTCAAACCGAAACTCGACTTTCGAGTGAGTTTCTCTTGTACTTTGTGTGTTTTGCTTTTGCCTTTTGAGTTTGCTTTTATGTTTGTGTGTGCTTGGTTTGTTTGCAT